CACATTCTTTCTAATCCATGGCAGGTTACCTCCCCGCTTTCCCCCCGTCACCACCTCCCCCATCCAAGCCACTGTGTCCCATACTAGTGTACACTAAAGACGACTCGGAGTGAAGTTCAGGCCGCCGCGACTTATATTAATATGCACCAACAAAAAATGCCGATTAAGACTGCACGACGTAACTATAAAAACGAAGAGTCGAGACTTGCATGAGAAGCCAGTTTTCATTCACGATCAAACTGGAGGCTTGACCATAACCGTTGTTTTTCTTAGAATCTCATATCAGACTTGTGTGAAAAGCATGGCATTTCAATACCAGATGTGAGTGACACTGAGGACAAAGATCAACGGGAGGACACAACAGTGAAGGTACACTGCTCGGTATTTGACTCTAAGAGGGGCTCACTTTAGAAACACGCGGTCAATGTCCCAAATTATCACTCGATGGTAGCTGTATCCACGCTCTTCGTAGAAGAATGGCAATAAAAACATACAAACTGCTTAAAGCGCGGGAAAACGCGGGCGACGAAGTCGTGATTGGTTTTAGTTCTGCATCTGATTGGTTGCGAGCGTCGTGCGAGTCTTTTGGACCAATCACAGAGCGAAGTAAAGCAAAACGAAAGCAATCTCTATTCACTTTCGACCGACTCAATCGCAAATTGCTCTGTAACAACAACTGAACTCTTTCAATACAAAATATTGCGATTAATTTTTTTTGTCTCACATATCACGATTTTGCACGAAACTTCGTTCAATGGTTGCTAGTTGTTATGAAAAGCTGTCCTGAAACTTGACAAAGACTTCACTTCTACGTTTAAAGGGGTCTGTTTCTGAGCCTACCAAGCCCTCAGAAAGAGAACACATCCAACGGCAAGATTACAACGATCTAGTGGACAAATTGAGTGAATTGGAGGGAAGACTGGAGGCTGTGATAGAAATTGAAGATTTTGACGAGGCTGATATCCTTTTATGACCGAACTAATTTTACTTATTCAATAAATGAATAGCTATGCCACGTACTCATCAGAACTTGAGGCTTAAATTTTGCAGCCAGCTACAAGTGCTGGAAATATATGCCGCACGCGGTAAAACTCGACAGCTACTTTTATGATGGCTAAGTATAAAATGTCGTGAAGCGTAGCTCTCACCAACCAGAGCAGAGTCTACAAGCTGGCTGTTAATGGTGGGGTACTTTTTTCTAAAAGTTTTGAATTGTTTGTGCTGAACATTTATTAGATCCTTGTCATTCTTACAGGCTCATTTATGTGACAAACTAACTTTCTCCAAAGTGTTGACGAATGTGACAGTTTGTTATTCAGTCCCAGTTCCCGACATGTTTCTGAGGTAATTAGACCGAGCGTAAGGGTAACTGGAACATACTTCTTATCTCTGCGGTCTAGAAAGACAACTGCAAGAACACCAGAAAAAGAACTTGGCATTACTTAGCCAGGCATTAAATAGTTCCAGTCTAAATGCATTATGATATGAAATTTTCACAGAGAGAGGCGACTATGTCTTGTTCACACCTACCAATCTTGAAAGTAGACTTTTGTACGTTTCCTTAACATTTTACCAGACAGACTACAGCAGGAAATAACAAAAATTAAAGACAAAATGGCGCGGGAAAATCCATAATCTAGGGAACGATGCGTAGGAAAAGCGCATCCCAACATCAGCATGATGGAATCCAGGCGAAATTGAACTTAGAAAAGAAATGAACTCTTAGCTTCTATGGTCTGTGCGACGACGCGCAATGAAGCAGCGGTTTCCTATGCAACGAGAAGGTTGCACATGCTTTGTGTTACCGTCTTTTTATAAGAACAGGGTAATTTTGAACTCTTTACGGTGGCCACCTTACGTTATCAACTCAGTTGATAATACATAATTACCCTGTTATACCCTCCCACCGACGCAGAACCACAGTTTCTTTAGAAACTTATCCCCTTTATTTTTTATAAGAACAGCCATGATGGCAGATTAAAAAACTGTTTTTTTGGAAAATTGTTTGGGGATAGTTACTTCTCGGTAATGTATTCTGTGAAACGTTGTAAATAGTTTCGCGACTAAATTGTGTGGTGAAGGCTTCCTGATGCTCAGAGTTCATAACTTTTTTTTTCCAGCGGGAGGTCCGGGTAAAGGTAAATGTAACCCAGATCACCTGTTCATTATAAGGATCAAGAGTTGAAGCTGTCATATTGAATAAGAAAGATCGCGGAAAGCCTGGAGCGAACAAACCAATATCACCCCACTCACACTTTTTTACTATCTTCAGGCTTCCCTCGATCTTGCCAATAGAATATGGCGGCTTCAACGCCCGATCAGAACATGGAGCTCTCGCTTTTCAGCAAGAAAATAAGACTCCTATGCCGCCTTGCTAAAACTGTGCGCGTTGCATTTAGTGTCGCTTCAAGGAATTTATCGTACGGTTCATTACTGGTAAATTTCCCGAACAGAAGCAAGTATTGATTCCTTCCTCCAGAAAAAACCCTGTTTGCTTGTTATCTATTTCCAAAAATTCCAAATGACGCGGCCTCTCATGCTTATCTTTCGGTGCCTGTCTTTTCTCCCTTTGTGGGTGTGTATGTGTCATGGACATGGTTTATTGTGCGCAGAGAAACACACTTCTACTTTCATGAATAGATTACTCTAAATTTACTTTTCAGCATATATTACGCAAATTATTCTTGAGACTATGAATATTTAATGGTCTTGAAGACAAACAAAACAGAATGTTTTTCTTCACTGTGATTGGTTTAACATTGTCATGACAAGCTTTCGATTCCAAGAATAGCTAAAAGAGAGAGTCACAAGACTTGATTGTTTCAAGTTGATTGCTTAGAAATCGTCTAGCTTTGCTCGCTCGCTTTTGCCGGACGGGCAACATGGACATTAAAACGTTGTTCCATAATCTTCGAGAAGAAGTATCTTGTCTAGTGTGCACCAACATATACACGGATCCAAAACAACTCCCATGTCTCCACAGCTTTTGTCTCCATTGCTTGAATCAGTGGCACAGAACAAGCCATGGCCGAGACACAATCAGATGCCCGAAGTGCCAAGCTCTTAGCAGAGTGCCTGAAAGTGGCGATTTGAAAGATCTTCCAACCAGTTTTTATCTGAACGGCTTGATTGATGTGCTGGCAATTAGAGAATACCAAACCAGCCAAGCGAAATGTGGAAATTGTGACAAGAGCAGCTCGGAAAGTTCATATTGTTTCCAGTGCTGTATGTTTTATTGTCAAGAGTGCGTGCTTGGGCACAACATCATGAAAAGCTACAAAGATCACCGTGTCCTGGCGCTTAAAGACTTTGAAGTCAAGGACTATGAGGATGTAATGAAACGACCCGTTTTTTGTCCTAAGGAAGATCACAACAAAGAAGAGCTGAAGTACTTTTGCAAGACTTGCGAAATACCAGTTTGCCAAATTTGTGTCACATTGGACCACGGTGGCCATAATATGAAATTAATCAAGGAAGAGGTAGAAATACAGAAGAGTGAGATGAGGTCGTTGCTTGAAAAGCAGAGACGTAATTTGCAAGCTAAGATGAAAACTGTCAATCAACTTGATGAAGAGTTCGCCAAGCTGATGCAACAAGCCGAAGACGTGAAGAGAGATGTTCAAAGACTTGTTGACAATCTCGTCGCCGTTATTGAGGCGAAAAAGCAAAATATACTATCATCGTTGGAGAAAGAAACGAGCAGATCGCTTGATCTTGTAACGGAGCGAAAAACCGAAATTCAACGGCAAATTACGGCCATAGAATCTTCGCTGGAAAATGCTGATAAGCTTTTAACTCGTAGCAGTAATGCTGAAATCGTTCAACTCAAGAAATCATTAGACGCCATTTTTGAAGGAGTTTCTCAAACCGAGCCAATTAACCGTAGCACCGAAAGCCTTCCGGCTGGTTTCATTTTCAAGCAAAATCCAAAACTGTTGGAGACTGTGAAAACTGATGACATTGGAACTTTGCAAATCTTGCAACTCACTAAGGCAAATCATGTAATTTGCGAAGGCAAAGGAATTGAAGAAGGAATGGTAAACTGTGAGGCACAATTCACTTTGACCTCAAGGAACATTCGTGGAAAACAGTGTTACAACGAACGTGACCATGTCACGGTGGAGATCAGAGATAAACGAGGACGGGAATGCGCGACGGAGGTTGGAATAAATGACTGTGGAGATGGACTCTACCAGATCAAGTATACTCCAAAAGATCAAGGAAGGTGTAAAGTGAGTGTAAAAATAAATGGGGAACATATTAATAGAAGTCCTTTTACCGTATTCGTAAAACCATTTCAATTCAAACCTGTTTTATCTTTCGGTAAGAAAGGTTCGTCTTTAGCATTGTTTAACAGTCCTACTGGACTAGCAGTAAATGCTAGGAATGAGATAGCTGTAGCTGATAATCTCAACCACAGAATTCAAATCTTTGACAGTGACGGAAATTACATAAGATCCTTTGGCAAAGTGGGAGAGCTTCAAAGTCCTAGAGGAATAGCATTTCATAACAATGGGAATATTTTCGTCGCGGATAGATCGAGTCGGATTCAGATTTTCGATGGGAGGGGTGGGTACATACGAAGCTTTGGAGGGTTTGGTAGGCTTGATTACCAACTTAAGAATCCTTGGAGTTTATCTGTAGACAGTGACGGGAATGTGATCGTTGCTGATAAAGGAAACAGCTTAATTAAAATCTTTTCTCACGATGGAAAGTTCCTTATGAAAATAGGTGGACAGGGCTCTTTGAAATCTCCTATGCATTGTATTCAGTATGATAGGTATCTCGTAGTGTCAGACAGTGGTGAACAGTGTATCAAAGTTTTTGACAGGAATGGAAACTTTCAGCACAAGTTCGGAAAGATAGGTAGTGGGGACGGGGAGTTTGATGGTCCTTCTCGTATGGCAGTGAACAAATCAGGGCACCTGATGGTCTGTGATGAATGTAATCATAGAGTACAAGTATTTGAAATAAATGGTAAGTTTATTGGCAAGTTTGGAACGAAAGGCAGCAATTTAGGAGAGTTTCAAAATCCTGTGTCCCTTGCAGTTCTAGGTAACGGCCGAATTGCTGTGAGTGAATTCAGCAACCATCGTATTCAGTTATTTGAATGAAAGAAACATCAATATCAGGTCAGAAGTAATAAGCCTATAGTGACAGAAAACTGTTTACATGCCGGTTTAAATCGTCGGTCAGAAGTCAGACATGCGCAAGTGGATTAATTTTTGCCAGCTGCACGCTAATTCCCCGTTAGATGAAAACAGAAGAAATAGTCGGTTTCATTTTAAATGCAAAAAAAGAGGTTTGACACGTTCATAGAAATCTGTGAATAGAAACTTAAGTAAGGAAAAGTAGACTTAGGAAATCTGCTAAAGGAAACTGAAAGGGAAAACTTGGGTTTTTTTTCTTACGCAAAGATTACTCGATTATTAGTATTTTTTCAATGTACCAAAATGTTACACGGCTTTAAAACACGGTGCCTTTTTTGCATGTACAAAAGGAACAGAAAAATCGTATTACGCTGTGTTCCTAACTTAGTGACTCTACAATTATAACTGGACTTGATCCTGCTGATTTACCAAAACCCTCTCCGCTCTCTGCTGCCACAGTAGTCAGCAAGCGAACCTATTCGGTCTTTTGGCGCGAGCCTTTTCAATTTTTACACGGTCTTCGTTTCGCGAATAGGATACCAATAGATGTAGAATAAGACAAACGGTCAATCTGCAAAATAAAGTCGCCTGAAAGCGAGATGTTGGGCCGCAATTTTATCCACTTCTTTGTTGTTTCAACGTGTTAGCCTTCCCAATCCTCTTCATAAGGCAGGCGGCCAAGGTAGGCGTCGTGCCTTTTACCCCGCCGATTTCCTCGCTGCACGCTTTATGAAGAAGACTGGGCACAAGTTAAATTATCTATAGTTAACAGGCGAAGCAGAAATGTCATTTATGTTTAGATATCAACTATGACGTTAATTCTGTCAGAAATGACACTTGATAAATTTCATGCTCACTGACCACGGGTGTGGGGGGGGGGGGGGGGTAATAAGAGGGTCCAAGCATTGATTTGAATAAAACAAAACTTTTTTAGCACTTGAGCCTAAATAAGCTAAGAAGTATTTCAAGATTAATATTTTTCAGAAATTCAAGCCGAATAGTTCTATGCGATCCTGTTGTTGGAATAATTTTGGCTTCTGACTAGCAGTGAAAATACCCATAGGTCTAATGAAGTAGGGGGGTGGGGGTCCAGACCCCTTGGGCCCTCCCCCCGTGTTTGCCACTGCTTTCTTATGATCTGGGTAAGAGAAACAAAGTTTCAAAAGTTGGCTTGTGATGTTGAATTACAATCTCTTGGGGGTTGCGTCGAATTTATTCCAAAAATATTTTTCATTCAATTAAACGAAGAGCATCAGAGAGCTGCAGATAAGGAAACCTTAAGTTCTACGTTCAGTACTTATAATTTTCCGAGATTATTTTTAAAATTTTTGTAGCAAAACTGTTGGTCAATAATAGTTATTTAGGACCACATATATTTATATCCTGTATGTAAACAAGAGAAAAAAACTGTCATTATTTTCTCTTGATGTAAACCATTACAATTTGATAAGTTGATACTTCAGAAGGAAGCTACTGATATCACGCGACAAAGACCTTACGCATAAGTGTTATCTTTGTTTGACGCTAATGGGCTGTTGTGAAAATCTTGGTAATTAATTTGATACATGTTTGTTATAGGTGCTTCAGCACAAACTTGTAATCAAGCTCATCTGTACATAATAAGACTAGTATAATAACTATATATGGTATCTTGTTCAGTACTTAGTTCACTGTACATGAAAGTAACCATAGACTGGTGCATTCTAGTGGATATAAGACCAATTTTCAATTCAGTGTCAAAAGTAACACAAAATTGTGTTGGTTTTGCTTTTCTTTGCACTTTGATTTGTCCAGGAAACTCGTGCCAGTCAACCAATCAGGTACTAAACTAAAACCAATTACGACTTGGTGGCCCGTGTTTTGCCGCGCCTCAGGCAGTTTGGTTGTTTTTACTTTGAGTTCTCGTTAGCTCTCAAAGGTATTTTCCTTCCTTCTGATTGGACGTTTTAATTGCTTTGGTTTTGGTTTCACGACACTCAATTGAAAAGTGCTTAGGTGGTTGAGTTGGGAGACTCACTTCTGAAAATGACGTCATACTTTCAAAGTATTAATACTATTATATTGTACTTTCATACTATTAATTTTGATGAAAATACCATTGAGACTGTTTGAGGTTATTGTAGCTTTTTTAGAAGTAAGTCTCTGACATTTTTTCCATAACCAGTAAGTACCGGCCCCACCCCACCCCACCCTCACTACACAATGAGGTCATCGAGCGCAGAGCGACCTTAATTCAAAATATGCGGGTGAACCAGAAATATTTCAGTGAGGTATTGCTTTAACCTGGAAAAAAAAGGGAGACATTTATTACTTCACATTTAAGTGTCAATTGGTCTTAATTAAAAAAGAAAGACCTGTGGAACAGATTACGATTGCAATGGACAACAGCAATGGTAATGAGAGCAGCTTTTTACAGCTTACTAGTTCGATCATTGCCTGCATGACCTTCTTGTGTGGAGGGGGGAGGGATAAGGATTAGTCTAAAGTTTGTAGACCAACAGTGCTCTTGTAAGGATCTCTGGTTGCCTGAATGCTTTGT